GCGATGAGCGCTCTCTCGGGGAGAAAAAAAAATTATATGTATTTTCTACATATATTATTGGTAGACTCTAAAATCGATTAAATAAGCCTTTGAAACCTCTAAATTATTTAAATTTTTGTGGGCTTCGCAAGCCTGTAGCCAGGGGGGTTCGTTGGGTTCGAACGAACCCCCTTTTATTGAAGTGCCTTTTCAACAAAGGCTGGCTAGCCTACACTTTAGGCCTAGCCTAGAGCCTATCATCATTAAAAGTCCTATTTTAATACCTGATTGTTAGGCCTACATTACCTAGTAACATAAAAAATTCAGGCGCCGAGACCTTGACTCAGAAATATCGGGATGGTGTCCGGCGGGGGATAATATCACCTGTGTATATATATACAGTATATAATGCGCATATGTCCAAGAAAAGTTTTCCGACATTTTGTTTTACCTCGCAGTGCAAAGTTCGATGCGAAGTTTCTGCAGTGTTCAGTCAGGGCTCACGCTAACCGATCGGCAAGTCAGCATGGATGAAACTATTTTGGTTTTGCGGCAAAAAATATAGGCATTTTGAAGAAGGCCTAAAATAAAAAAAAGGTTTTAATACTTGCTGAAATACATCGTTTTTTCATTTAGATCTCCATTTTTTGCTACCTCCATGCAACGTTTTTTTCTGTTCTATGAGTAGTCATATGGAGGTACTATATCCCCGAGAGTTGGCTATGCAACAGTGTATCCTTTGAATGCAAACTCAAGACAAGTGGAGATATAAAGGCAGCCGACTGTCGGGTACATAACGACTATCTAGCTTAGGCTTTCCACAAAAACATGAGGCCTAGGCCTAGTTTAGTACAGTAGTTACTGCGATGCGAGGGTGGTATATTGTTTAATCAATTATATCGTGTTATCGTCTAATACATTTAAATAATGTGTGTAAAATTTAAGAATGCACTGCGTGGGTCGCTTTCTTTGTTATGTATTTGTTTAGTTAGATGCCCACAAAACTGAGAACACCTGTGAGTCATGTACTAGCCGGTCTTTGCACCTTAAATTGCTGGTAAACGGAAGCAGTGATGTGGGTTATGGTCGTTTTTTCTGGTAGCCTTTAGTTTAAAAGGATAAGCTTTTTCATGGTTTTCACAAGCGCCTTGAGCACTTTAGTGGAGATGTGCGCTTTATAAATCTTATTATTATTATTATACGTAGCAGAGTGACGGCAGCAAGGCTAGGCCTAGCCTAGGGTCTATATCATTTACGTTCTTGATGTAGAAGTGGTAGGCGCAT